TTTGAATAGAAAAGGAAGAAGTCAAAATAACTTTATTTCTAGATGACATGGTCAGTTCCATAAAGGGTCCCCAAAACTTCACCAGAAGACTCTTAGAAATAAATTCAGCTAAGTGGCCCTATACAAAATAAATACACAAAAATCAATATTGTTTGTACATAGCAAGAAGAAGAAAATTCAGAAGAGAAATCACTGAGAAATGAGAAAAACAATCCCATTCACAGTAGCTTTAAAAATAATTAAATATCTAAGAATTATCCTAAGAAAGTGAAACACTTCTACATCTAAAACTATATTGCTTTGAAAAAAGAGATTGAAGAGGACATTAGAAAATGTTTTGAAATATCTTCAAAATGGCCATATGACTAAGATAATACATAGATTTAAGGAAATCCCCATAAAATACATTCAGTAGGACAAATAATTCTAAAATTTATATGTAATCAGAAGAGACTCAAAATAATAAAAGCAAACCTGGGCAACAAGAGCAAGGCAGGAGGTAATACAACCCCAAACTTCAAGTTATACTGCAAAGCTACAGTAGTAAAAGCAGCATGGTACTGGCACAAAAACCAGACATACAACTAATGAAATAAAATAGAGAATACAGAAAGAACTCCAAGGACCTTCACCCATTTGCTTTTTGACAGAGGGGCTAAAAATATACACTGTGAAAAAAATTCTCTTTAACAAAAAGTGCTGGACAAACCAGTTATCCACATGCAGAAGAATGGATCTTGATCCATTATCTCTTATGCTGTAGTAAAATAAAATCAAAATGAATCAAAGACCTATATATAACAATAGAAAAACTAAATCTGCTGGAAAAGAGAATAGGTAAAACTCTTTAAGAAACAGGCATAGGTAAGGACTTTCTGAACAGAACTTCAATTGCACAAGAGATAATGTCAAGAATCAAAAAAATGGAAGTATATCAAATTAAAAAGCTTCTTCACAGCAAAGGAAATAACCAACAGATGAAGAGATAACCTGCAGAAAGGGAAAATATGTTGACAGTTACTCCTCAGATAGAGGACTAATAATTAGAATATATAAATAACTCAAAAAATTAGACCCTCCAAAATAAATGACCCAAATCAAAAAATGGGCAATTGAAATCAATGTATAATTCTCAGAAGAAAAAAATACAAATAGCAATACATATATGAACATCTTTGTTTTTAGGGAAATGCAAAACAAAACAATACCTGGATTCTACCTTACTCCAGTAAGAATGGCAGTTATCAAAGACTCAGAAAACAACAAGTGCTGGTGAGGGTATGAGGGACCCACACCCTGCTACATTGTTAGTGGGTATACAATCACTTTGGAAATCACTACAGAAATTCTTCACAAAATTAAAGTAGAAATTCCATTTGATCTAGCTATACCTCTCCTGAATATCTTCCCCCAAAAGCTAAAGTCCTCATACTACAATGATACATACATACCCATGTTAATAGCAGTACAACTCACCAATAGCTAAATCTTGGAAGTGGCTCATAATCTCATCAATAGATAAATAGATTAAAAAGAAAAAATATATATATATATGTATAGATATAACAGCATAAAGAAGGTTACATTTGAATCATTTGTTGGAAAATGGATGGATCTTGAAAACATAATACTTAATAAAATACATTGGTCACAGAAGATTGAATATTACATGAGTTTAAAAAAGTTTTTTTATAAAATGGAGTACTAATCAGCCATAAAGAATGAGAAACTGGAGACATTTATAGCTAAATGGATGCATATTGAGGCGATACTCTTAAGTGAAATAAATAGGACACAGGTGTAAATACTGAATAGTTTCTCTGATGTGAGAAATTGAAAGTGTAAATAAGGATCAAAATGTGAAATAGATAATATGAAATAGGAAGAAAAGTTTCAAAGGGGAAGGGGAAGTGGGAGGGGTAGGGGAAAGGAAAGAAGGAAATGGAATAAATATGAGAAAAGGAAAAAACAGAAACAAAGTCTTTGTGAATGGGGAGGGGTATAGGGGTTGATGGGAAGGTGGGGGAATGGGGGAAAAAAAAAGAACCAAGATATATTACGTAAAGGTACAGATACCCAATGACAAATGTCATCATATTGTATACCTAAAATGTACCAATAAAATTAATGAAAAAAAATTACATGATTTTGTAATACGAGAGACTCAAAATACAAATAATGTGAAGAGCAAAATTAAAGAACTATGATAAGAAATAGGAGGCAGAATCTAGATATAGGAAGGGGATTCAAGGGGAGGGCAGGGGAAGTAAAAATGATCAAGATTTGATGTAGCTATGTATCTCAAAGGTCCAAGCTGAATATAATCACTATATGCCACAAACATACTAATAGAAATTTAAAATTAAAACAATTTAAAATTTTATGCCCTGGTACATACACGCTGAGGACAATACATGCTGTGGCATGACATTCTGCTCACACAGTAGTTCAAAACAAGAATGAAAGAGGCTCTGTGTGTCTCAAAGGCCTGGATAAAGATAGCTCCTGTTTCTCCCAACTTAGTAAGATTCCTATTGTATCAAACTCTGGCTGCTGGAACTCAGCCAGAGACCCAAGCCTTGAAACAGGAACAAGATGAATTTCCAAATCTACTTTTCCCAAGATCATGCTGGCTTAAAGCGTAGGTCTAAGACAGATTTAAGGCTACACGTAACATCATCAGTTAGACCAATACTATCCGAAGTAGTAGGGAGCAGGCCCAAGCAGCTACTTAAGTGTCAAGTACTTAAAATCAAATGAAGTAAAAAATTTGCCCTTCAATGTTGCCACTCAATAGCCGGAGACTGTTGTTACTGGAAAGCACAGATTACATAGCGCTGGCATCGCACATTGTCCTATGTACCAAAAGAAGCTTCTCCACGTCCTCACCAACACTGCCAATGTCCAGAACAGCTTGTTGTTTATTCCATTAAGGGCAAGGAACAGCACTGTGAGTGGGCAAAGTAGATGCCCGCTTCGAGAACGTGGTCTGAGAGGTACTGGGGAGGCCTACCACTCTATGACAAACCCTCTGACTTACCTTCAACATGTAGAACGGTAAGTTAGAGCTTCATTCCTTTAGCTTAGAGTCCAAGCCTTAGACCTAGTTGGGAATTTGTCTCCCCTCTACCTTGAAAAGTGTTAAAATTTCCGAGAGAAGCACCATGCTGAGGCAAAAAATACATACTGAAAGTCCTATTTTAACAATAGGTTGGGGGTTAGGAACATAATGAAGTTTTATGAGCAGAAGCTCCTGATAGGAAGATAGGCAGTGTCAAAGGTGGAAGAGCCTAGAGAGTGTCCTGTCCTGTCCCAAATGTGCTATTGAGGATGGAGGAACTCTCACAGGCAGCTGATCTGGAAAGATGCCCAGGAATGCTAAGGAGTGCAAAATGCAAGTGAGAAGCAGTTCTACTTTATCATGGAAAAAGGCTTTGGGGACTTAAAATCATCTCTTCTGCAACCCAGCTCCCATTCTTTCCACAAGGAGAGCACAAACTGCTATGCTCTACACTGACTGTCTCCTTCCTCTCCTTTCCAGGGAACAGGGACCCCTTTAAGCAAGAGTTGGAAACCCAACTGGAATAGGGAACTGCTCTGAAGGCATAGTTCTAACAAGGAAAAAGGCTATGACTTTCCAAGGCCACTACACTGCAGTACAACATTTTTCAGACTTAGACATTTGGCATGTTGTGAAAATAATCCGTGCTTCTTCTATTTTATGAAGTCATATAAATAGTTATATGCCACATCTATACAGATAGAATATAGTCTAAAAAATAAGCAACAGTGAGTTCTATACCACAGCTAGTGCTGCAAATGAGTTTTCCTCTATTATCTACCAGATGGGTGCTAGATTGTAAGAGTTCATTCCTGGGGTTTCTTTCCAGTCTTCTTTCATCTGCCCCATCTCCCTTCTGTTCAAGATTACCTGAAAAACCATTTTATGAAGTTGCTCAAGGTAGAAATCCATCTTCAAATGATTTAGATAAGTGATATTATGAAATACTTTTTTAAAAAAAATAAGGAACATTGCAAATGAGCAAGTTATTTGTTCATTGTGAACACAGCAGCTCTATTCAGTGATGAAAATAACCAGAGAATTTGACTTTAAAGTGATTGAATATTGAAAAATCAAAGAGCACTAATTAAAAGTCACTGTTAACCAGGGAGGAGAATTTTATGTCACAGCTAGACACTCTGCCCTAGACCACATGCTACTGACATGCATCTTTTCACTCTTTGGAATACAGACAGATAAATTATTAAGTATTAAGGTGATATAAAAATCAGAAGGAAAGCTTTACAACAAGCCAGTCTTTCTCAGTTATGGAACACTCATTAAAAATACAGACCTCTTGGATTCTCTGGGTAGGGCCTGGGCATTTGACGTTTGGCTAGTTTTCTGAGTGATTAACATTTCCATTAAATTTGAGAAGTTTCAACTGTTAATTCAGAAATACAAAATGTCCCATTAGATTGAAACATCTTAACAAAGATGAATTTTGATCAAAAGAACAATAATTCCAAAATAGAAGTAAAAACTGTCTTCTTGCTTTTCTAAGATATACATTTGTGGAAATGGACGGTGGAAAATTGTGGGCAAATCAGGACTGCAGCAGTTCTTGTTCAGAAGCAGGGGGGATCTTACTTGTGGGAGGAATCCTACATAAGACGGGAAGTAGCATCATTTAGGATTACTTTTTATCTGACAGCTGGTGAGCCAGTTTGTGTGACAGCACATTCAATGTCAAGCAGTATTTAGTACTTTGGGTTACAAACATGAGTGATTACAAAAGTAATTACTGATTTTTGCCTTAAGTAAAAAATGGAAAATTGCTTTACAAATTTAAAAAATTTGTGGAGAATATTTTCCATAGGTGAAAAACTCTTTATAGTTTCATAATGCTATCATCACAATGTAAAAGTCCTTGCCTAAATTATTCTGGCCTTTACTTTGTCTGTCATTTCCTGCCACAGAGAGGTGAGGAGATTCTTACCACAGACATGGAGCTGGAAAGCAGGGTTCCATCCTGGCCCAGCATGTTGGAGACAGTTATTTCTGGTAGGTCCATAGTTTGTGGGTGGAATGGTAGCAGGCCATTGTGGTTCATGGGGTGGCACAGAGAGTGGTAGCCAGATTCAACTTCATTCAGGTGCACCAACGAGTGGTCCGGGAGGGAAGGAGGAGTGATGGGTGGAATGTTGAAGTCTTCGCTTTCTAGACTTGGACCAGGGTAGGCCTGCGTAAAGACAAGAGTGACATTGTTGCAAGTTATCATGCCCTTGTTCTTCCTGGCCAGGAACACACACACCACCCTTGGATAGGATCACAAGCAGAATCACGGTTTAGCAATATGTTTCAAATGTTCAAATTAGCCTACTGCCATTTATTTCACTACTATGCATGGAAGAAAATTGCCTCTACAGCATATCAACTTCTGGTATAAAGACTGCTTCCATTAGGCAGTTTTATTTTTCCAGGAAGCTGAACTCAAACAAATTTCAAAGGTCCCATTAAAATTTTCCAGAGTTTTAATCTAGCTGAATACCTTTTTCATGGGAATTGTGGGGAAGGGAGGCAATTTATAAAATTAATGTTTGATCAAACATGTTTCATAGGGCTCCCTACTGCTTGGATTATGGGATGTAATAAAAATGAATTCCAGAAGTCTGGGGCAATTGCCTTTGGGCTTGAAAAGTTACCTGTTTCAACGGACGAAAAAAAAGATATTAGAAAAGAAGTAATTTAAACATGTTGCATAAGTGTGGGCATACTGAAGGTTTGATATAGTTTTCAGATTCCATTAGAAGCTAATTTTATCTCAAAGATTTTATCATCAAAAGTGAAGATTGCTTTCATGATTTCTAGTAACATTTGATTTACCCTAAAAGCTGATAAATAATGTTGCAAATATTTAACTTTCACTTCAGTCCATCATGAAAAGCAAAATACTATTATTATAATACTAATTCTGAATAAAAGTCAAGAGCAAAATAAATACTATTAACACACCTGGGCCTTTTCCTTTTACAAACGGGCTTAGATAAAGAAGGAAGAAAAGATTATATGAAAACACAACTGTTTAAAAAAGAATGCGGTAAATGTTAGAAAGTATAGGGAAGAGCTGAATAAAGAAACATTGTTACTAATTTGTATCAATACACAGCTATATTTAGTAGTCTTTTATAAAACAGGTGTCATAAAATGAAAGGGAACATTTTGGTCCAGACAATTCTTGCAAGTCTATCTTTCAAAATAAGAGAGCCTTCACAGTATCTGCGCGTATGGGTAACAAGGACCCCCTTGTCTAACAGCACAGCGCCTGCTGAAGTGTGCAAGATTTGAAATGAGGAGGCAAAGGGTAGGAGCCAAAGAAAGTAGTGTAAGGTATTCCTTGGCTGTTCAGCCAATAAGCTTCATGCTCCTGTGTCCAAATGCCTGGGGTTATTTTTCCCAGATGGCGTCTATTTGTCTAACAGAAAGAAAATCGTCAAGTTGTACTTGCTAAATGTTGTACAAGCTTTGATATATTTGTTTAGGCACTGACAGAAGACAAGATTAAATGACGAGCTACTTGGAACATCTGGAATTTAGACCTGGCCATGGGGAGGCAGCCGTGGGTTAGTTAGCATTTGAGGGTGAAGGGTTGATTCATCCCTGCAGATAATTTTTCTTAAATATTTAACATTCTGGTAAAAAAAGTTACCAGCTCTAAAAGTTCAATCATCTGTTACCAAAGTCTTCTGTTAACAGTATATAGTTTTTGTCTGAAAAATATATTAGTGTCCTAAGTTTGATTAAACTCTCACATATCTGATATATGTTAGGCCCTGAGTCTACAGTGCTAACCCTTCAGTTCCTTTTGCAAGTATAAGACATGACCAGTGGAGAGGTGGAAGAGAAAGCATATTTAATAATGCCTATTTCATATACAGTGCTTTAAAGAGTCCTTTGACCATGCTGCTTACATTTAAACATTACAGCAACCCTTTGCATAGTGATCGCTGCCCCCGTTTTCTTGAAAAGAAATTGAGGCTCAGAAGTTAAACAATTTTTTCAGCTTCGCTTAGCTTGTAGATGACCAACTAAATACGTAGGCAGGAAGGGTAGATATATGATGAAAGAAGGTGTTTTTGGTGGTATTGGAGATTGAACCCAGGGTCCTGGCAACAAGCTACATTCTCAGCCCTCATTTATTGTTTATTTTGAGACAGTCTCACGAAATCACCAAGTTTCCCAGGCTGGGTTCAAATTTGAGATCCTCCTGCTCCAGCCTCTCAGAGAGCTGGGATTACAGCCATGCACACCATGTCAAGCTGTAAGAAGGCATTTTTTTATTGCTGGAATATTTACATGAGCAGTACCATTGTTATTATTTTATTAGGTTGGATGACACAAAATTGCTAATAACCACTGTCTCTGTTAAACAAAATTTCATAAGTTAAGAATTAATATTAGCATTAATAACAGGTATTTCCTTGTATCAAATTCCACCCCAATACCCACCCACCGAAATTCATCACATGAGCACAGGAATTCAGAATTTGTTTCTGACAGCCCAGCAATTGCTAAATTTTTTGATATGTAACTTTTAAGAAGTTAATCAGTGCCTATTTGAAACCTTACTGAATAAGGTACAAGTAATGGAAAGAAAGTAGAAAGTTGCTTTTAATTTAAAAATGCCATTAGACCTCTGAAAATGCTAAGGGATATTCTACCCAGAGTATCTCATGACTTTATATTCTAGAGTTTCTTCAGTTGTTAAATCTTAATTTGTGGTATTTTAGAGGAAGGTTTAATTGGTATCACTTTACATTCAGTGATAACAATTGTACTGCAATTTAACTAAGCTACTTGGTTTATTTTCATGTAATTACACATTAATGTTATTTAATCCATGCAGTTATACACCAAAACCACAGATTCCACAACTTAACTGGTAATGGGTAGTTATGTGGGTCAAGAATTTAAACAACGTAAGGTTACTTAGTAGTTTCTGTTCTTTACATTAGAAATCATGATATGGTTATTTGCCAAGAGCCTATTACAGTGTAACTGATGCCATATAAAGTACTGTGGTAACTGTATAAATGTCAAAATGTCCTAGAACTTTAAAAAAGTTCAGTGCCCACCTAATTACTAATGTTTTAAAATGTAGAAATAAATTAGCTAATTTCCCAACTTTAACTTCTATGACATCTTTCACTTTGATTTTTGAAAACTACATAAGAATGTGTTTATTAAATAGTGTATAACTGTTATCTGTTAACATTCTGCAGGGATTCAACTACTAAAACAACCATGGTTGGTAAGGAATAACAGCCCTCTAACTGTGCTTTATACTTCAAAAGTCATTGATGTTTTAACTAAATAGTTAACTTTTATAAGATAGACAATTTGAAGTTGGGAGGGTATAACAGAACAAGATATGATTTGATATTTTGTCTTATTTCCATGAGCCTCTTGTTTGAATTTGTGTTAAAAGTTTGTTGAATGAATAAACAAAATAATCACTAAATGTATGCATGTATACCATGTTGAGTTTTTAATGGAATAAGGTTTGTGAATATACCATTTTTATTCCATGGGTTTCAATAATTTTCTTGTATTCTCAAAAGTCTGCATTGGCCGATTAATAAGATGTTATATAACATTCATCTCAAAATGTGTCAGTAGGCCAACAATATTTTGTTGGAAGAATCCTGGCTTGTGCAGCTTGAAGGAGTCTGAGTAGAGTAGTTAGTGTCTCTGTCTGGCTGCTGCCCATGCCATAGTGACACAGAGATTCCAGAAGATTTGTAAAGAAGAATGTGTGGTCCCTGGCTCTCAGAAGTTGTTGCAATCTAATAGCCTCGGCAGGCAGGACGTCTGGGCCCCATTGATAAGAGCTGGGGCACCTGAAGCTACAGACCAGCAGAGTTCCGATGCCGACAGTGGGAATGTAAGGGTGCTCACAGGAACACGAGATGGAGTGGGGCCTGACCGTCAGAGGAGTTCATGCTAAAGCCCTCTTGATGATGCAGAGGACCTGCTGTCCTTGCCCACTGACTTGGGGTCTTTACCGAGTGACAGCCCCCCATGTGCCCTGGAGTTTAAACAATTACTCTTTCTTCAACCCTTTGGGGAACAAAGATCACCTGATCCCCTCTAAGAGGATCTCCATGTCCTCTGGAGACCACAGTGCTACATTTCTTAGCCTGAGTTAGGGGTCACCACAGAGTGAATGCCATGACTGAGGGGGCCCCTGTAGGATCTGGGGTGGCGGGACAGGTGTGGCCTTCAAAGCAGCACAGTCTTCCTCACTGCCCTCTGATGTCTCTTGCCCATCAGTGCCCAGAGGCCAGAATCCAAGCTGCAGCCTGAAACCTTCCCCCTTCCTCGTCAGCAATTGATGAAACTCCGCAACGACCATTGATATAAATGGAGATGTATTTAATGATAGTGAAATTCAGGCCATTAATTTTCATTTCACCTGAATCTACACTGTGATAACTAAAGGCAAATTGGAAACAAATGTGTGTAGAGATTTGGTGTAAACTAGTCAATCAGTGTGATCCAAATGGCTTAAAAACTCAAAATTTTATTGTTGCTACTTGAACAAACTCTCCCTGTTCTTAAGCGATCCACTGTCTTTCTCCTCTCAGGAAAGCCTCATCATGTTGCTGGTGCTGGAGCACCAGTCAGGACCCCCACCCCACCCACTGCAGAGTGGACAGTACCCAACTCTGTGCAGGTGCAGGGTCAAGAGCAAGAGTGGAGGGTGGGGTGTAGTATCAGGAGGTTCAGTTAATTCTGGAAGAAAGATGAACTACTCAAGGCTGCAGAGAACTTTTGGAAGCATTAAAGTAGTAATTTAAAATAGCATCCTCAAGAGAGCATTTTTATAGTTCTCTATAACAGAGTCAATGGCCATTGCAAGCTATTTTCTTAAAACCTTAAAAGGTAGTATGTGCACATTTAGCTTATAAAGTGTTACATCGTTCTCTGATGAGGAGCTAGATTTTGGACTGGTTGAGACTGTGAATAATGATTTCTTCGTTTACTAATAAGAACAGCCACAGAGATTATTTGAAAGATATGAGTCTCTGGAATTCAATAGACAAGGTCTGTATCCAGGTTATTTAAACATTTATGACTCTGGGTTCTGAATCAAGTTTCTTTTTCCTTGCAGGTCTCAGCTTCAAAACTCACTTCCTGGGTTTCTTCAGAGCATTAAAAATGAAAACATATGTAAAAAGC